AATACTAAAATATATATTGTTTTCCAGTGACTGTTTTGATTGTCTTTTTATTTATAGGGAAAGCTGTTTACAGTCTTAGACCAAATGAAAGTGATATTAGGAAAGAAATTATAATGAATGGACCAGTTGAAGCGGGCATTTTTGTGCATTCTGATTTTTTTAACTATAAATCTGGTGTTTATAAACATATAATCGGACGATTAGTTACCATTCATTCAGTTCGAATAATTGGATGGGGTATAGAAAATGATATTCCTTACTGGCTGTGTGCTAACTCATGGAACGAAGATTGGGGTCTGAATGGATACTTTAAAATTTTGCGCGGGTCAAATGAATGCGAAATTGAAAGTTTCGTAAATGCTGGTAAAGTGGACAATAAGCCTAGATCAGACTGAAAATAATGGTAATATCATTATTATAATTTTATCTGAATAACTTATTTTCATTAAACGATTTGAATTTAAACAGTTATATCCAAATATAATTCATGATAACTAAACTTTGACTTTTATAATGCACAACATAAGGTAAAGAATGAACATTTTATATTTGGAACTTGATTTACTAAACATTTTAGTTTTGTTTCCTGTATCTAGAAAGAAAAGTGTTTAAGATAGTCGGCGAAATATTGTTCAGTAATGGTATAAGTGGATTGACAAATATACTGATACATTTACAAAACACGTCTGCAAAATGTTTTACAAGAACGGCCAGTGAGTTATCAGTGGAGTCGATGTGAGGGTATATCCGAATTTTAGATATTCATAACTTCTAAAACATGTCTCTGATTCAGTGATTAATTTGTTGAACTTGGACCACCATGACATTTGAACCAATGAGATTGTCTTTTTCCTGGCCAATGAGATTTGAGAAAATTTACTAACATCAAATGACAACATTTAGTTAATGCAAATCTAATAATTGAATTGTAAATTAATATTTTATTTTAACACATTACATTTTATCAGAAGGGATTTTGTGGAGATTTAAGTAATTTCAATAGTTGAAATTACGAGTCAATTAAAGCTAGACCACCATGGAAAACCTCGCAGGGGGCGGGAACGTGGATGCGCACTGTTGAGGAGTCCCATACTCGAACGAAACGGCCGTCCAGTGCTCCGAGATTTTCCATGGTCGTCTAGCTTCAACTGACTCATGATTTCAACTATTGACATTACATTTTACTTGTAAACACAGTAAAAGTGTCCAGTTGCATTTAGGACATATAAAGAAATCTACGGCTTAATTAAAGTGCTTTGATATGATTTACTGAATTAGCTAGAGATCATTATGTCAATTAATTTTTTAGAAAACAACTGAGCATACAAGTAAACTGGATGAAAATGATCGAAATATGGAAACGTGTAGTAACATATTGAAAGTATGAAGAAAGTCACGATAAGATTGTGATATAAGTTAAGTACATAAGATAAAAGTCGTATTTAACTAGATTAGTAAGTAATATATTCACGTGAAGCTATGGATATTTCCCATTTCATATCAATGATATGTATAAATGGATGCTTTTGAGAATAAAGACTATATATATTTAAAAGGGAGATTGATTATGAAGTATAAATACATGAGTTTTTTATTACTTAAGGAGGATTACCACTGTATTATTAGTATAAGTGTAAGTTTCCTTTGATCCATTTTATTCAAAGTTTCATACTTTTCACATAATTACTCATTTTTATAAGTAATACACAGGTCACTGAAGTAAATCTCATAGGACAATAAGCAATACGCTAGTTCGAAACAAATTCTATGTCCGCTATTCAAGAACATAAAACCTGCATTACACTTTTATTTTGCCTACGTAATCCAAAATAAATAATCAATTGTAGTATGAACCAAAAAGTAAATAAATATTTTTATTGTTGTTGGGTGCTGCGTTATGAGGCCGTTCGATAAAAGTAGCAGTTGTTTATCGAAAGTTTAGTTCACCTTTATAACTAACCATACCAATAGCTTATTCTACCAAGGACACGATGACTACGAACGACAACAGACGAATCATAACTATTACTAATCCATAAGCAAGTAACTCAATGTCCAATTAGAGGATGAAGCTAGATAGTAAATCCTTTTGTTGTTTTGACTCAAAGCTCATATGATAATATACATTAAATACTTAACCTTACACTAACATGGATAAAAAATAAAATCACGCACACAATTGAGCCATAAGTCATAAAAAACATGAGTAACAGAGGAATAATTAATTGATCTCATGATCTTAACCATCGAAATTACTATAATACCCACAAAAAACCCTTCTGATATGAATCAACATATGTTCATTAGTGACTGGCTTCAACAGGTATTTCCTCTAGTTCTAGTGAGAAGCAGTGACCAACGGAGTTCAACTGGGTCTGTTGTGAGATAGTAACTCACTGATGACAATGGTGGATGTGTCGCTCAACTTCGTGGATTGATTAAATTTAGACATTAACACCGTTGGATGCCGGTCATCCCAGCGGTCTAGAGGTTAAGTGTTCGCTCACGAGACCAGTAGGTCCTGTGTTCGAATCTCGCGAGGCCGAATTGCGAATGCACACTGATGAGGGGTCCCACGATAGGACGAAACGGCCATCCATTGCTTCCAAATTTTCAGTGGTGGTCTAGCTTCAATTGACTCATGATCTCAACCATTTAAATTAGTATAATATCTACCAAAAACCCTCCTGATATGAATAATTAATTAACAACAAGTTAAGCCATTATCTCATCCGTAATTTATTTTCATCCTTATATTTCTTCCTTACTCCATGATTATTGAGTAACTTCATTTGACAATAAGAGTCTCGAATCAATGTATGATGAAATCTTTTCTATCCTTCTATATACATATGTTTTCTGTACAGTCTTAAATTGAAAAAGAAGGTTCTATATAAATTGAATCATGTTACCTATTTTAGTTACAGAAATAAAAGTTGATACAGTTTAAAAATCGCTAGGAAAGGTTAATGAGTAAGTGTCTTTAGTTGATTCCTTTTTAAAAGGACTTTTTATTAGAACCAACAGATAAGTATAATTTATTAATTGAATAACTGACTTGTTTATCAGTGGTTCATTAAGTTTATATCCAACTGGGATTACTTATCACAGTTTTAAGTGTTCAATTAATATGTTATATGGATTACTTTTGCTTAATTTTCCTTTCATTTAATGGTTGAGTGATGCATAGTAGTGTGATCTTTATAAAAGACTGTTATTTAAGCCTTTAGGTTCAATAGATTTGTGTTTTTCATCTTGTATGTTGTGATGTTCTAAACTGATACATTTACACCAGATATTTATGGAAACCTTTCAACACTTGGAATCAAATTTTTAATAGGAATTACACTCATTCACTAGATGAAATAAAAATTGGCTAGAAATACTGAGTGTAGTATGTATATAGAATGTTACTTAAACATTAAATACGTGAAGGATAATCTTAGTCTCAGTATTCTATGCAAATAAAACAAAAGTTATGTTAGAGTACCAAGTGGTTGACAGAAGAATCGTTTATTAAATAGACATCTTTGTCTAACCGGTCAATGATTAATGTGATTCAGTAACTATTATTAGTGTTCATGGTCTTCAGAGATTAAAGTTTGATTTCTTCATTCATTATTTACTGAACTTTATAAATTACTGTATTTAAATAGTTTTGATGCCCAGAATAAGATGCTTATTCTCTTGTGATAGCCTTGAAGACCGGTTATTATTGAAACAGTGGACATTATTGTGTATATATGTGTAAATGTAAGCACAAATCAGCACATAAATAGGTGTTCATCTGTTCATTTATACACTTCAAGTGTAGTTTATTAGTATTCGTTGCTTGAATTTTTCCATTGATGCTTAGGACTGCAATTGATCAGTCCATTGAACAAGCTAGTGGTTATCTGAACTCAGTAGTTAAGTCAGTAAAGCAATAAAATTTTTAAGCGAACGATACTGGGTTCAAGTCACAGAGTGAACATCAACTCTAAGATGCAGGTAAATTCAACTGACAAGTCCCAAATAGAACGAAACCCGCATCCTGAATTCCACTGCTAGTCACCATCATCTCATATATAGTCTATTTGGTCTACTTACTTTTTTTTTTCAATTTCTAATACTCAAAAAGGATGAACTTGAAAGAAAAAAGAATCTAATACATTTTGACTGACAACTTACTGACAGGAAATAAAGATATAAAAAGTGAAAATAATTTTCATCGAAAGTATAACAATAAACTCTTTTATTCTAATCAATTATTGGCGTCAACTAATAGTATGCATGTATGATCTTGTGTAATAAAGTGTTCTCATCTCATCTCTTCTTTTAGGTTAATATACATTTTTCCAACATAGTAGTATATATTCACTGACCCTATTTATGAATTCTTTCGTTTACATTAAAAAAAAAACAACACAACAAGAACAATGTGGATTATTTGAAATGGTTAGTTCAAGATATACAAATGAATGACATAGTGAGATATATACCTTTATTTTTGTTTGTTGTAATGTATTTGAATGCATTTACATATTTGTTTCGTTGTATTCATATCATTGTATATAATTTAGTGCTAATTAGTTTATGTTTGTGCATAGCATTCAATATGGACAATAAGATTTTTAATATAGATGTATCTATACAAATAGTATCCATATAAGTAATTCATGTTTGTACAGACATGTTCAAAAATATAAATTATCTTGACTCTGTTCTGTTCTGTTCTGTTTTTTTTTAATATTTTTAAATAGGATTGTTATTTTGCAAGGTTGTTCAGTATTATTATTTACTAATGAATTCAGTTAAATAAATGTAGACTAATTCCATTTTTATATTGACTTACTATTATATATAACTTTAAAAATGAACATTCATTTAGCATGAATACGAATACAATCAAAGGATAAGTTCTTTGTTCATTTATTCTTTATGAATATGATAAAACAAACTGTACTGATCTGTTTTACAGTTCAATGATTACAATCAGATGATCATACATAATAATAATAATGAACATTGAGATTATTCCATTCATCATTGGTATTTTAATTCTTACATTATTCAATGGATTATATTTGTGTAATGAATGGAAACATGTAAATAATCGTAAGTGATAATTTGAAATTTAAATTCAAGTTTATTATTGTTTTACAGAGTGAAATGTCTTAACAGAAAAGGGTCTTTTTCTGGAAATTGTAATCATTTAATAGTTAAGTTCATGAGTTAATTAAAGTTAGATCACTATGGAAAATCTGGAAGCATTAAATGAATCTAGTGAGGTAGGAATGTGAATGCGTACTGTTGAAGAGTCTCATATTAGGACAAAACGATAATTCAGTACTTCCAAGTTTTTCATGTTGGTTTAGCTTTGATTGACTCATGAAGTCAACTATGAAATTTATTAATAATTTTTATGCTTTACAGTGATATCACTTAAACAGGTAATGAATGCTGACTGAGTTAGAATGATATTTAGATGTATTAGAAAAGAAGTGATTTCATCAGAATTTCTAAAATTTGATTTATAATAGTATAATAATATATATATTCTGAAAATAATAATTACAGAATTCATGCCAGTTTACAGGCATGATCAATTTGATATAAATAATAACATAAGATGTAGAGAACAAACATGTGATAGAAGATAGTTTTAAGTATACTAGTTCAGTAATTGTTTAGGTAGTACATGTATTACAGCAATCCAATGCAATAGCCGGGAACTTTTAATTTTTCCTAAGTAAACAGCCTGTTGATTTATGAGTGGTGTATTTAAGGTCATTTCCTGTGCCATAACGAATTAATGGTAATTATTTACACCTTCGTTCATTCCACATACTCGATGAAATAGACTTTTATTTTTGGATATGTATTGAATTATATACATCGGGTGATATTATTCAATAATGAATTTAGAGTCCTTACATTTAATCGGTTGTAAATGATATTACTGTAGGCTTGCTAAGTACAAAGTAATTCAGTGGATGAGAATAAATGACGTATTGAAGATTTTTGTAGCGATAAAAGTTAATGGAGGTATGGATTGTAGTGTCTGAGATGAATGGGTAAATATTTTATGGAACTTAATAGGAGGTAAGAACATACTATAGCACTATTTGCTACATATATATTCCAACTGTATACCCCATCGAGCACAGAGAAGAGTCACTCATAAACGATGGGATTGATCGGGTGTTTCAATGAATTTCAAAAAAATTTCGGACTAAGCATTACAATACTTTGAAATTTATAGTGATACATAAGAACTCGTATTAAGAGCTCATATGGTACTTATCACTAGGATGTACTTAATTATTCTTTTATTTATTTTTGCCGGGTTAATTACAACAGATATTCTGAGGGGACGATGGCAGTTTACTATGAAATGTGATGACGAGGTGGAAACGTTTCATATATTCATTCACTGCGTAGTACGTAATGAATATTACTATCAGTGATAGAGTCAATAGTAAATGTTTATCGACTGAATCACAAACTTAAACCAGAAAGTAATTGTTATGGTTTTTGGTTCAGTTTTACAGAATCCATAGTTTTGATTCGTTGGCTAACTTGATCAATACAGATTTCAGTTCTCTTTTAATCTAATCAAGGGATTATACAGATAATCATGTCAAAATTTTGAGTACTGTCTGTTAAGTTTTAAAATGAAATCAAATGATGGAAGGTTTCATTAATAACATTGATCATATGATATTTATCATTGAAAGAATTCATGTAGATAACTAGATATTCATAAAATTAGTTCATTCCGGTTCTGGAGGATCAATTATGCAATGAAAACGATAAATAGTATAATATCATAAGATCGTGCCTACAACTCTTTATGATCAAGACAAAAAGAGTCCAAGGCTTAGTTAATTTTATTAAATAGTACATATCAATCTAGACATTAAAAAAATAATAAATGGTTTGTAACGAAGCTCGTGTAAGGTTCTTTCCTGATTAATTAATTTGTTCAGAACCATGTTGAATGGAATAATCAAATGCTATTTACATTGTGCCAGTCGAGTGAGGGGGCTTCTATTAGTTTTCTCGATTTACGAAATACCGTTATATATATATATATATACTTATTTTAACACATAGATATTGATACAAGGAGGCACCAAATACATATGCGCCACACAAATCTCATTCGATATGTGTGAGGGCTGTGATACTGCCCGGGTGCCCAAACCGAAGCAGGTGGTTTTCTGTGGGGGCCACTCCCCGAGCCTTCGACCTGAAGGTCTGATCCACAAGGCAGTGGAGCATCGTAAGGAGATGCAGTCCCATGGTAGCCGGTGACCAACAATTGGTTCATACGCCATTTGTTCCCTCAGGATACTGGAGCCCATGTGCACCATTGGTTTTGAATCCGGTTAAAGCGCCGGACATTCGCTTTTCGTCCTCTCATTTTCGTAAACAACAGTAGTGCCACGAGAAGGCAGTGAGTAAGACTTCCGTGGCAGAGGCTATATACGCGTGGCCGTGTGAGAGCATTTCTAGAGGGAGAGCGAACTCTCCGCACTCTCGGTCATACCAGGGCATTTGGAAGCATATATATATATATATATATATATATATATTAAATATTCATTCCGATAATTAATATAAATACAGCCAACTCAATAAACGATTCCAAATGAATTACTTCCATAATACGTTTCATAAACTACCGGTATTCGCTTACAACACATTCACTCACATGTATACGATCACATGGAATGTCTTCAATATGAGTATTAAACTATAGTTAATGCAGAATTTTCGAAAAACTCACATTACTACTCATAACACTAGTGTTGATGATGATTCGTTTAGTGTCATATTTAACAGCCATTGAAATTATTTAATGTTTTTTTCATTATCATCGATTATAACAATAAATAACTATTTACATTACTGTATACTAAGATTATTGGTCAATCAAACTAAACGATTCAACAATTACTGATTATGTTATTTTTGTTTTTATTATTTCATCTAATTCTCATACTGAACAATCAGTAAATATTATTGGAATGTTTAGAAATAAGTAATTCATTGTCATGAAACTGACAAAATGATTTACAGTGATTATATTATGTAATTTTGTTAATATACGACTATTGTACTGTGACCATTGATTGATTATTCAAATACTAATCTGTGTATTACTATGGCATTTCATTAGTATTGGTTATTTAAATCTTCCTACTGTTGTTTAGGTTTGCAACTGATCAGTCTGTTTTTGTATATATGCATCTAATGCGGATTATCTCGATATTGTCTTAAATCATATGCATTATAAACCGAGATAGATGATGGGCTAGCGGCGGAATCTAGGACGCGTGATCCGTCCTATTTGGGATGAGTCATCTGGATTTACCTGCATTCCAGAGTTGATGTTCGCTCTGAGACTCGAATCAGTACCGTTCACTTCAAACAATTTTGGGTTAGTGATTTAGCCAGATAGCCACTGGCTTATACAATGAGGTGAAGTTTAATTCACTCCTCCTGGTCGTTCTAATCTTTAGATTGATGTTAAGGAATGCAATTGATAGCGTTTAAAGTGAACAGTACTGACCCGAGTTTCAGAGTAAGCATCGACTTTGAGATGTTGGTACATCCAGTTAATGAGTTCCAAATGGATTCCATTGTTAACCACCATCCATCTCTGCTCATAATATTTATCTATCTGTTTAATAACGTTTGATAATTGACAAGTAGCTGCATTCATATAAATGAGACTGTCAAGGGTTTGCAGCTCAAATAAGTTATCCAAGTCTTCTGAGTTAGGCGCTGCCTTGATAAAACTTAATCATCCCTTTCCCTTTATAGCGTAACAGGAGTATAAGCCTAATTATATATTCAGCAACAACTAGACATAACAGATAGACTTATTGTAAACAACATTTACATTTTTTGCTGTTACCTAACCATTTCATAGAGCAGTTAGTTGTTGGAATTCAGTGATTAAGATCCAGCATTTCCATTAAGTTTGTTTCAGGAAATATTTCATTTAAAGTCACATCACAGATGTATAATATGCAGTTAGTAATTCACTTATAAACATGAGCTTGTTAATTTAAACTAATAAGTTACAGAAATAAAAGGAGGGAGCATAGACAACACAGTCAATCAGTCAGCTTTAATGTAGGACTAGGCACATATATGCATCAGTTCAAGTTGCCACACTTCATTAGCACAACAAGATGAGCACTAAATTCATAAAAGTAGTTACTTCAATGGGAGTAATATATTAAGGAAAGACTATGTACAAGGATATAATATAGGAACAAAGGATTAGTTGATAGAAAGTAAGACGTAAAGCAATTTTAATTTCACGGTTTAAGCAAAAACAAAGAGTGCATACACCCACTTCATTGTGATCGATTCTAAGCCATGTCATCCAGAGTCTCCAACCACTGGTTACGATATTCGCGTGCACCACACCCAAACAATCTGCATCTACCAGTATGGCTCAGACCAGAAGTTAGTGAATTTATGGACTGATGCCACGTTTTTGTTTGGCCGCCCGTATCTACCATAGAGGACTGGTCATTCTTCATTGTACGGTTCCTTCGATGTAATATATTGTTAGATTATTAGGTTTATAATCGATAAATAGTCTTGTACTTTTTCTGGGAGCAGTTATGTAAGGCTAATGTAGACTTTATTTCGCAAAAAAGATATGCTCGTAAGGTTTTATGTTGTTTACTATTACATATACGAGCTTTCACGTGCGTTGTATTATAGAAACTTAATAATATAAGATTATTAAATACTGATCAATCGCAGTCCTAAGCATTAATAGGAAGATCTAAACAACCAATATTTTATGAATTAGCACCACTGAGGTTGTTGTCATTATCACTGTTTTTCGAGGTAAAAAGTGATTTCCTTTTCCTCTGATTTGGAAGGGAAAACTAAGATATGTTGGTTTAAGCATATACGTACTATCCAACCCTATCAACCATTTTCAGGACTTATTTGTCTGCTGGGGAACAAGACGATTATGTACCCATGCCACTGAATATCCTCATAATAGTGACCAAACGCTGCAAACACATCTTCCGGTTTTTACTAAAATATGAAATCTAATAATTTCAAATAATGAAACG